ATATATATATATATATGCGCATACCGTATTTCGCGTCCCAAAGAAACACCATTTGTGCGGTAGCCCAGTCCAAATGGCTCGTGCGTGTCGGTACCACGGTCCTCAGTCTGCTCAGCCGTGTGGACGCTGTGGGGTCACATCGTGGACCTCCGTGTCTCCGATATGCCGCTCCCCCCCCACCACGAAGGCTGAAGGTCCGCGCGCGCTTTGAAGCTCGTGACAAGTCCAGTAAAAAAAAACAAAAAAAAAAACAACCTGCGTCACTTCAACCGTCGGCTTCACTTTGGAAAGTCTCCGAAGCCCAGCTGGAAGGAAGCTTCCAAACAAGCAGGAAGTGAAAGAAGAAGCTCAAAAAGCGTAGAAGAAGAAGTGAAGTTTCAAAGTGCTGCTGTCATTCTGCGCCGGTCCCCTCTCCTCCCTGCTCGATCAATACGCTTCCATCCCAGCCCACAAAGACCAGGCGTTTACCGGTACAGTTCCGGATTTGCATATAGATCCGCCGTCAGCCAATCCGCAAGCTCCGCAGCTGACCAATCAGCGTCACGTCCGTTCAGAAGGAGGCGGGGTTTAGGGGAGAGATGCTGGGACATTGAAATAGCTGAGGCTTCAAACTTCCTGCTTCAATTGGAATAAACCTGAAATTATTATTGTTATTATTTATTTGTTAATTTATTTTAATTATTCATTTTATAATGTTATTATTCTTCTTATTATTACTTTGACCAAGTGGAAACTAGCAGCTCTGCTATGGATCTCCTTTAAAGCCATTTTTGAAATATCGTGAAATATTTGGAGGTGATATTTGAATTCGAGTTGTGTTTATTTGTCGTATGCAGGTTAACACAGGGTTAACAGTACAATGGAATGCTTAGGATGAAAAGAACCGATTAGACTCAATAAAATAAATCAAAGAACAAACCAACAAGAAATACTAAAAGCATGCAATAAGGGTACACAAAAAAGTACCAAAAAGTAATTATAACATTTAAAATGTTCTAAAGAGAGATATTGAGCAACAACATGGTAGAATATAATTTGATGTGATTCAAATTATTAGTTTTGCAGTAAAAAGATCATTATTCTGCAGCGTGTTCCTTTGCCACCAGCACAAACGCGTGAATAGTGCTGGCTTTCCTTCTTTGTCCTCCCTCTTAGTTTTAGAATATATTTTAAAGTTTTATTCATGACATGTAAAGTATTTTTGAATTGAACTGCACTTAATGTAAGGCCCTGACTGAGCAGGCTCCTGCAGACCAGTCTGATCTCCTGCAGCTTTATGGGTTCTCCAGATCCTTAAAATCTAAAGATCATTTGGATTTAGTTGTCCTGAGGTTCAACCTGGTCCACAGAGGTGATGAAATATTTTCAGCTGTAGCTCCTAAACTGGAACCAGCAGATCCTTCATGTCAGGCAGGCTTCAACTCTTGCTGCTTTAAAGTCCCTAAATTGTTCTTAAAACACATTGTTGCCTTTTAATGCACAAAATGTAATGTTTTCCCTGCATTTTATGGTTAAATTTTGTATCTGCTCTTATTTTTATTGTATTTTTTGAACTATTGTAAATGTTTTGTATAAAGCGGACCCATCCTGACTGTCAGTACCCAAATCATCCAATAGGGGGCAGTAGTTAACAGAGCTTTCTCCAGAGAGCTTACCCAGAATGAACAGTTTCTTTAAATTTTATAGATAATCAGTCCTTTTGAAAAGGTTTAAATTTATAAAACAAACAAAATTTGATTTTTTTTTTTGTTGTTGTGGTGTTTAATTTATTCAGCTGCCCTGGTGTCAAAATGACCCAACAAGGCTTCCGTCTTAATCATCACTGAGGCCTTGGGGAAGCTGATGCAGCAGCAACACATTTCTTATTTCTCATGTGCAAATTAAACAAGTTTGGATTGTTTTTGTTTTTTTCTGTCTTTATTTGCGTTCAATGTTTAAGAACACTTTGGTTTGGGCATTTTATTTGACAGATTGTGCCTTTATGTCGCATTTATCAAAGCAAATTTGTTTGTACAGCAAATTTCAGATCAGCTGCTGTTGGCCAAGTGCTTCACACAAAAGCAACACGTTACAATATTAATTAAAACAAATACAATTTGTAACAGGAGAGGACACAAAATAAAACAATCCAATGGAGATATATGTGTTTTAAGAAGAGACTTTAAAACACCAAGAGCCTTTCTGATATCTAAAGGACATATGGTTCCTCAGTTCAGGCACTACATGAAAAGACCCGATCACCTCGGTGGACCAGCCTGGACCTCTGAACTACTCCAGACCCCATCGGTGGTTCTCAATTTTTTCACAAAAAGCACCACCTCAGAAAATACTAAGCATCGCCATTTTGGCAACCATTTAGAACCAGCGTTACAAACTTACAAGCTTCTATTAATAAACCAGTACAACATTTAAAACAGACCAGTCTACTTAAACACCTACTAAATAACCAGCTTGCTCCTTTATTCTAACTTGAATACTTCAACAACCCCCCCCAAAAAAGACTGGGCTTTCTTTGGGTGACTGTCCAATGACCGAAACACTCGTTGAACTTAAGGTCCACTTCTAAGGATTTCCTCCAGGATTCTAACAACAAACCAAAATATATTTTAATTGCTAAAAAAAATCATTTCGACTATCTTGATATTTTAACTCCGGGGGTAAACAAAGCAGATGGGATCCTGATTGGCATGTTCCTTTTGGTAAACCATTGTCTGGTCTAGTTTCCACAAGGGTTCTAAAATATTTTTCATAACTTTGTTTCAAGTTGTTACCAATGGGCCCTGTGATGGACTAGTGACCTGTGCAGGATGTCCCCCACCTTTGGTATAGTGATGGCTGGATATGGGCACCAGTGAAACCCACGACACGAAAAGGAAGAAGCGGGTAAAGATAATGGATGGATAGTTACCATGGGGAACTGATAGTTCTTGGGAACCAAGATCGTACTGTACCTATTTAGCAGATCTCAAAGTGCTACAGTGAGTGAACATCAGATAACATCAAGGCAAAAGCAACCACAAAGAGCAACTGAGAGGAGGAACAACCAGGAGGATAATGCCTCAGAAACATCACATCAAAACTTAAAATGCACAAAATGCAGATATAATATGCAAATAAGAACTATGGGTGCAATAAATATAAACAAAGGTACAAATTCAATAAATTAAAAAACTGTAAAAAGAAAGGTTTTAAGACCTTTTTAAAAACATGTCCCGGTCTGTGTGGCCCTCAGATATGAAGGCAGGGCGTTCCAGAGCCGAGGGGCAGCACAGGAGAAAGCCTGGTCTCCTGTAATGTGGGACCGAAACTGACTGAGACCGAGAGGCTGAGAATGATGTAGGTTGGGTCTCAAACACATTGCTACCCAGCTTAAGATACAGTTGAGTATCATCAGCATAACAATGGAATGAGACCCCATAGCTGCCGATAATATACCCAAGTGGTACTATGTACACGTTGAAAAGAAGGGGTCCCAAGACTGATCCTTGGGGCACACCACAAGACACAGGATGACTCAGTGTTAGCTTTCTCTAACAAGGTTCAGGCCCCTGACTGAAGTAGTCTTTTGGATAAAAGACAAAACATTTCAACAAAGAAGAAACCGTCCAGAGGACCTGACTTATCCTAGTTAGATTTATCTACCCGGATTATTGAGCATGCATCAGGACACTTAGCTCGTTAGTTGATCCTAAAGATTAAACCGAAGGGATCACCAACGGTATTTATACCACAATTTGAGGATTTAGTTGAAAACTGTGAGGCACTGCTGAAGATGCTGTGGTGAACTATTTTGTCCAGTGTCTGTGTTGAATCAATAAACTAACTGCACCATCTAAAACCTGCTTTATTATAGATGAACCAACATGCAGCGAGGCATGGGTGGATGAAGAACGGATAATAAAAATTACTCACATTGGTTCAAATATGTACTTAAACAGACTTATACTATGGGAAATATTACAGCTAGGTGAGTTAATGAAACACCATTAGGTTTTTTTTTTTTAATTAAATGATGTAAAACTCAGTTTAAGTTCCTGTCAGAGGAACTCTGAATAAGTGCCACTCAGCCTCGGCTTCAGACTCCTTGTAGCCAAAGGGGAGATAATTAAAAATGTAAACGCCTCATCTCCCATCTTGACTTGAGATGGACATGGCATGACTTGCCCTTGGAAATATACATTTTTCAGATCTTCGTCGTATGTCCAGTTGTGTTTGGTCTATACCGACTGTCTGAAGACAATCTGGAAAGGAAACAAAAAGTCTGACAAAAAAAGAAAAAACAGATTTCTAAATATGATTTTTTAAATTTATTATGTCAATAAATACCACAGTACATGTTCATCACATTCAAAAGTATTTCAAATACTTGAAAGTGCCTTGACAGTAATAAGTTACTGGGATAAATCTATGCTCTAAAACAAAATCACTGAAAGACTAAAACACAAATTCAATATAGATGCTTAAAGAAAAGACTTGTTTTTATATCATGGCTGTTTGAAAACATTAAGGTCACTTAGTGTTTTTATTACTGGAAAACAAATATTCCATTTAAATATAATAATTGTAAAATTGCTACAGCAAAACCAAATTTTTTTCATTAGATAAAGGTTTTTAAAATACCACAGGTCCATCTCATGAGTTAAAAAAAAAAATCAAAACAAACAAACAGAATGAAAGAAAGAGGGAGAGGAGTTGGGTTTCACCCACACAGCATTTTCTACCAACTGACTTGTAACATGAGCTTCTTCCCATCCTCCTCCTTTGATCCTGAAAGTTATAGTAGCTGCTCTAATAACTAGATAAAACACAAACACACACACACACATCTAGTATTATATATATGTATATATATATATATACATATATATATATATACACACATATATATACATACATATATATATATATGTATATATATATATATATAT